GTGAATTTTAAATAGGGAATAATTTTTAAAAATTTTTAAAGATTTTAAATATGACACAGCCATTAATATATTTGCTTTTTAATTGGTTTTATAGGGGAAATGTTTTTTTGTGTTGTTTTTTAACATGCTGTGAGCCGCCCTGAGTCCCTCTGGGGAGAAGGGCGGCATAGAAGTTTAAATATAAATAAATAAATAAATATAAACTCCAACTGCTTGTGAAGCTAAAATGAAAGTAACCTTTAGATGACCCTGACTGTTAACTCCAACTGTTTTGGAGGGAAACTTTGAACATTCATATTTGGGCGGGTTTTTCAAGTATTGCGATTGGTTAAGGCCCTGTGGGCTCAGAGTATAAATTACAGGCAATTGCCTGCAGTTCTCCTGTTCTAGTTTGAGTCAATAAATAACGTTATAACTATGCTGGTCTGCTCGTTGCCTACTGAAGCCCACTGCACAATAGTAACACAATAAAGAGCCATGCACTAGTAAAGGGAATATAGTATCGAGGATAACTAAGCAGCCTCTTGCTAGTACTTTTATCCACCCAGTTATCATACATACATAATATATTTTTGCTTCCTGAAATCAACAACACTGTAGATTTCAGTAAGAGGAAACAAAACAATTTTTTAGAATTTTAGGGAGGAAAAAATGTAGGAATGTGATATGCAGAAATTTCAGCATAAATAATTGCTATTAAGAAAAAGGTCTATTTAGAAATTATTTTATTTTTTATCATGGTTGGAAATTGTAGTGAAGCGCATATTGCAGACCCTTTCTGTAGCCTTTTTAATTCTTATAATAGTGATATGGTAATTTATGGCTTTATTTAAGAACCAATAAAATGCTGCAAGATTTTATTCCCTTTTAGAAAAGCGCAATTGAAGAACTGTTCATTAGTTTAATATTTAATATAATGCAGCCAGGTCACTGCTTTTAGGCTCTAGACAAAATGAAATATGGAAATGTTTGCTCAAAATACAGTAGGTTACAAAAGAATGGTAATTATATAAATTAATTAGAAACATATGAATAATGTTTATATTAGATAATTATATGTAGAATTGTTAATTATTATAATAGTGTACTATACTTTGTTTCTTTCTTTCTGTTGTATTTTTTCATTTTAAAATACTTTCTATGTGTAGTTTTTGTATGTATACATTTTAATTATCTTTGTATTTTGTTTTTTTCTTTGGTTTCTGTTATTTTTTTAAAAGCAATAAAATATTTTTTTTTAAAGTATGTATGGTAAAATATCATTATTCCTGTCCTGCTGCTGAGGACATGAGATAAGTAGTTTTTAGAAAACAGACACTTTGCCAAGCAAAATTGAGCATGTCCTGCAACTGACTCAGTAGCTGGAGTTCTGATATCTTTTATTATCCTGTGCCAAAATCACTTGCTCAAATCCATTGGACTGTTACTGAAAGCTAGTGCTAGAATTTGGAAAAATTTTGTACTAGGGATTTCTGTTACTTTATATAGTGTTTCAGAATATGCCATGTGACTCATCCATTTATGTATTCTTGAGCCAAAACAAATTGATTTTGTGATCACTTAAATTAATGGTTCTGACTCAGGATAAAGAAGGTCCATATTTTTGGGAGGGTGGAAATAAAATTAGTTTTAGACCACATGCTTTAACAGTATCTGGTTTAAATTATGGCATCAGTAATTAAAGGTGTTTAGATAGCCCCTAAAGCAGTGGTTCCCAACCTTTTTTATACCCCGCGCCCCTAGAACACTTCTGATATATTCTCACACCCCTTACAAAACTTCGAAATAATGGCAATGAATTATGCATATACACTATAATTTTGAAAACCCAAGTTTTCGCATCCCCTGGAATATCATCTCACACCTCCAGGGGGGCGAGCCCCCCTGGTTGGGAACCCCTGCCCTAAAGAGTGATTTAAAAGAGTGAGGGGCTAGGCTAGACTAACCAGTTCTATTTGTACATATTTTATGGATTTGCATTTAATTTAGAAGATGAGGCATATTTTGGTTCAATCAGTGACTTAGGGATAGTGATGCTGCTACTGCACTGATTTATCTCCACATCGGATTAGCCTGCATTGCAGTAAAAGAAGACAACCATTCTGCAAATTTTACAATCTGATTTATGAATAGCTGTTTCTTCCCTTGCAGTTTCGCCTGGTTGTAAAGACAGCGCTAAAATTGCTCCTTGTTTTCGTGGAGTATACTGAATCCAATTCATCTCTTCTTATTGAAGCAGTAGCTACTGTGGATGCAAAAAGGGGTGAGTCATTATTATGCTTCTAGAAAGAGGAGAACTAATTGTGGATTATTCTGTTTGTTAAAAGATATTTTCACTACAAAAATAGTGTGGGGTCATTTAATATTTTCCTTTGGTTACACTTGGGAAAAGAAGTCCCAAAGTAATCAACATGCTTAAAATCCTTACATAAACTATACATTAGTATTTGAATCCAAACCCAGATGTTTATAAAATTGATTGGTTTTTTAGAGTAAGATGGTTGAAAGGAATGATTAAAATGGAGGATAGATTAAAAGGGATGCAAAAATAAGTAAATATTTAGTTGAAGCAAAAGAGCAATTAGTCATAGTCTCCAAATACATATATATTATACAACAGTATTGGTTGGATCTCTCTTGAGACAATTGCAGTGAATGTTCTACAGAACGGGTTACTTTGGCATGTTATAAACAACAATGAACCGGTGTTGTGGATGACTAAAGGATTGACAGGTGACTCAAAGATTAGTATGAGAAGACAATAATACTATTTTTCAGGCTCTACATAGAACTGGTTAGAATTTGTCTGAATTAATTCATTGTATAAGAAATTTGATATCCATCTACAGAGACTTCCAAACTTGTTTAATTTCACAGTTTTAGTTGGATTAAGTCTGTTTTCTAACTCTGCAAAGGTTTGTTTAAATATTCATTCATTCATTTATTTATTTACTTATTTATTTGTATCCCGCCTTTATTATGTGTTCAAATAACTCAAGGCAGCAAACATATCCAACACACCTTCCTATTATTTTCCACATAATAATAACCCTGTAAGTTCGGTTAGGTTGAGAAGGAGTGACTGGCCCAAAGTCAGCCAGCTGCTGATTTTGGGCCAGTCACTCCCTCTCAACCTAATCATGGCTAAGATGAAATCACTGTTTCCTACTTTCTAGCCTAGTGCCTTAACCACTAGACCAAGTTCACTCTCCATATGAAGTAATATGAAGTAAAGGTGGGGTTTTTATTTATCTTATTTCACTTCCAATCTCTTGGAACCAACGGCAATTACTGCTTTCCTCCATTCTTGTAATGTTCCCATCATATTGCTGATGTTTGTCTGTAAGGATTGTTTAGAATTTTACCCAATCCAGCAACCTAGTAACATACAATCTTGGTTAGTTATCAAGAAAATTGTACAAATACTGATATATCACATCATCCTCAAGGATTATAAGAGATTGCTTAATGAAATAGAGGGGTGGCATCTTTAGAACCAAGAATTTCTCCTAAGATAAACTGCTTAGATTGTTGTTGTTTTCCAAAATGATCAAACAAACACAACAATTTGTACTAAGGGTATGAACAGTGGTTGTAGGGGAAAATGTCTTTTATTTCCATCCTGTGGAACAGTATCAGGATTTTTAAAAATCTTCTGAAATTCAAAAGATGCATGAATCAAATGTTCTTTAACTCTTTTACAAGTCACTTTGAAGATTATCTCATGGGGATCTCTTTGTGTTCTCAATGTTTTAAAGTCTGTAAAAATGAAGACAATTAAATGATGCTTTAAGACTACTTTATGATAGATTGGGGAATGGACATTGAGTGGAAACAATATGTTTTTCTTTAGTTGTTAATTACATTAAAAATTAGTTAAATTAAAACTTTTGTAGCAGTTAAAAAGAGACAGATTGGTGTGATGGTCAAGGCACTTAGCTACAAGCCAGGAGACTTTGAATCCTAATCCTGCCTTAGGCACAAAGCCAACTGGCTGATTTTGAACCAGTCATTTTCTCTCAGCCCTAGGAAGAAGGTGGCAAATCAGTTTTGAAACTCTGCCAAGAAAACTGCAGGGACTAATATAGACAGTCACAAAAGTCAACCCTGACTCGAAGGTGCAAACAATAACAACAACAAAAAAGGAGAAAAATCTGAGTTTGCTTTACCCCAGAGCAATTGACAATTGATTCAACTTAATCATTTTTAAAATCTGAAATCTTTGATGGTGAAATTACTGCTCCCTCTGAAACCTTCTCTTCATTAAAGAACTTCAAAGAATAAATGAGGTTTTCAAGACTTATCCACAGCCTATTTCTTAGTAAGATAGAACAATGTGAAATAGACTGTCACCAGCAGATGAATTTATAATTAGTTGACCAACTGCACTCAACATATAGTCCTCAGTGGAACTATTGTCAAGAGTGATTCGCTCTTTCACCTAGTTTCTTTTTTGCTCTCAACTTAATAACAATCAGGAGGGGGGTGGTTGTAATGTCTGGGGTGGGAATGGAATGCCAAGACTCTGTCTGCAGACTGGGAGACCCTGCTTCTCCCTTCAAGACCATGGTGCACAGGTGTTTGAATGATCCAGGCAGTTCTCATAACAGAAGGAGCATATTTGATTGAACAACTCAATGGACTGAAGGGAACGGTCAAAGGGGAATTCAAGTTTAATTATGTGGATTTTGAGTGGGAAATCCAGAGCTGGTTTTGCTTCTTTTGTGCCAATGTAGTGTATTCAATAAAAGTGTTACTTTTGGGAAGAACCATGTCCCAGGAGTTCCTTTCTTAAATTTGCTAGCTGGACATTTAACAACCATCTCTACATACTGGGAAGCATGAAATGGGATACACCAAGATTCTGCCTTAGGTACTCTCCAACATCATCATAAATAATTCACATGAGATAAAAGGGGAACTCATCAAATTTGCAGATGACATCAAGCTATGGGTGGGGGCTAGCCAACACTTTCAGTTCTTGACAGTCCTGAACTCTGGGCCCTATCCCCAAAAATATAATTCAGTGGTAAGAAAATACTTAGGCAAGAAAACCCAGATGCATAGGTATAGAATAGATGGTACCTGGGTCAACAGCAATAAGTGTGGGAGGGATCTAGGTGGACAACTATTTAAGTTGGAGCCAGTAATATGCTGCAGCTGCCAAAAATGTCAATGCAATCCTAGGCTGCATCAATAGAGGGATAGTTTCAAGATCATGTGAAATGATAACGCTATTTTATACTGCACTACAGTATAAGACTACATTTGAAATACAGCATCCAGCTTTGGTTACCACGATACAAAAAGTTGTTGAGACTCTAGAAAGAGTGCATAGAAGATCAACAAAGATGATTAAAGGTCTGGAAGCTAATATGTACTATATGATGAATGCTTGCAGGAACTAGGTACATCTTCATAGCAGTCTTCTATGTTTGAGGGGCTGTCACAGAGAAGAAGTCAACTTTTTCTCCAAAGTACCTAAGGGTAAAACAAGAAGCACCAAATGGAAGCTTATCAAAGAGAGATCCAACCTAGAATTAAGGACAAATTTCCTGACAATGAGAACAATTAATCAGTGGAATGGCTAGCCTCCAGAAGTTGTAGGTACTCCATGATTGAAGGTTTTCAAGAAAAGATTGGACAATCATTTGTCTGGGATGATGGCAGATTTTCCCTATGTGATCCCTTAATATCCCGTGTGATCTCTTAACAACTGCCACTGGGAGAGCCAGGATTGCATTCATTGAATGAAACAATCATGCAGGCATCTTGGTTAACAACCAATTCTCTCAGTGACTGGGATCTCACTCCAAATTGTGGTTGTAAGTTGAGATCTACTTCTATAATAATGCAAATTATATTTGCCTCTCATTCTAATAACCATTTGTTGGTTTGAGGCTATGGAGTAAAACATTTGAGCAAGCAGGCATAAACAGGCACACTGTAGGAAGAAGTGGAAGAAATACATTATGGACTTCAGTACTAAGAATGTTGAACTCAACATTCAGGTGGTTTTTCTTCCAGAAATAATATATAGAATTGGACTGTTTTAAATAGTAATCCATTATATGCTTTCTGTACTAAGTTTTTTTAAAAAAAGAATTAACTAATATAGATAAACTAAATGCTTCTTTGTAATATTAATATTTCTTTGTTCAGATCTCAAGCCATGGTCCAGTGTCATTGAGATTTTGGAAGAAAAGGATGGACTTGATACAGAATTACTAGTTTATGCAATGACTTTAATAAATAAGGTTTGTTTTAATTTGACATGCATGTATTCAAATATATTCAGAATTTTCTATGTATTAAATTTATAATTAGAAAGTTATTTTAAAGTCAACAGAGATAAATATCGGAATGGATTTTTTTTATGTTTTCTTTCCTTGGTAATCCATCAAGGCTCTTTCAGACTATGTATTATATACTGATCTACAGAGTCAGTTAATAAATAAGATCAACTCAGCAGAATTCCAACCACATGGTTTAGTCAAATTTAAATGTACCTCTGACTGCACTGATGACAAATCTGCTTTCTGACCAATATTGTTTTTATATGTTTTATCACCTTGATTTTATTAAATACAGTGAAGAATACTCCCCATTTTAAAAAAAATAAGCTTATATGTGCAGAAATGGTGGAATGGTTCTTAAAGTTTGAAGAAAAGTCAGATAAAAGGTTGTGTTGAGTAGATTGCAGGATTTAGGAGGTGAGAATTATTTAAAGAGCCTCCCTTTATAACTTGATTCTTGGAAATATGTAAAATATTGATGAAATGACTTTATCAATATGACTTGCAAAAAATGTCATATGAATCTGCCCATCCATTCATCCAATCTACTAGTCATACTGAGTGTTAATCTAAAACAGAAGTTGTCAACATATGTCATATCATTATGTAAATATACCTTGACTTACAACTACAAGACCAATTTTCCAGACATAGGTCATTACTATTGTGATATTTAAACTAAACAGCAGGGACAGTGAGTTAATTGATACAGAACATCCCTGTCCCCGGCAATCTAAAAATTATAGGGCTATCAGTGTATGTAACATAGATGTGTGTGTGGACAAGAATATCAACCTTGCTGTCAAGCAAAATCAAGCTTCTAATAGCGAGTGCCACACAAAGAGCACTAACCAAATAGGTGGTAAGACAATAGAGGAACTCAGGCACTACACAGGTTATGTAGAAAGTAAACACAGGGTCAGCCATAAAGGACTCAAATGTCTATACATCAATGCACAGAGTATGAACAGCAAACAGGGTGAACTAGAAATTCAGGTTAATGAGGGCAGATATGATATTGTTGCTATTACGGAAACATGGTGGGATGAAACCCACAAATGGAACACACAGCTAGAGGGATTTAAATTATTTAAAAGAAACAGACCAAATAAAAGAGGAGGTGGAGTTGCTCTCTATATAAGAAATAACTACATCTCTACAGAAATAGAGCACAACAATGAGGAAAACTGTCTTGAATGCATTTGGGTCAATATAAAAGGGGGGAAAATGACATTGCCATAGGTGTATACTATAGGCCAGTGGTGGCGAACCTATGGCACGGGTGCCAGAGGTGGCACTCAGAGCCCTCTCTGTGGGCACGCATGCCGTCACCCCAATCCTAGGCGTTCAGCTGGGTTTTATAAAACCTTTTCACTTTAGGCCTCCGCCGCCGTGTGCAAAAAAAAAAAGGTTCAATCAGTCAATTTCAACTTCTCACAAGAAAAAAAAGATCTTGCAAAGTTGGAATTGATTGATTGAACTTTTTAGTCCCACCCAGTCTGCCGTTACCACCACAGCCACGTCCACCCAATGGGCCATGCCCACCCAATGGGCCACACCCGCCCGGCACTCGACGATGCATAAATGGGTTTTAGGTTGCAGTTTGGGCACTCAGTCTCTAAAAGGTTTGCCATTACTGCTATAGGCCACCCAACCAAGCAGAAGAAATAGATGAACTTTTTGCTAGTCAACTAACTAAGGTATGTAGGAAGCACATCACAATAGTAATGGGGGACTTTAACTACCCTGACATCAACTGGGAGACAAACTCTGCACCAAGTGGAAGATCAAACAGATTCCTGACAAACCTAGCAGACAACTTTGTCTCCTAAAAAGTAGAGAAGGGTACTAGGGGATTAGCCATTTTGGATCTAATTCTCACTAACAGAGATGAAATGATAGAAGGTGTTGAAGCCACAGGAATCTTGGGAGGAAGTGATCATGCAATATTGGAATTCAACATTATGGAAGCACAAGCAATAGAACACAGTCAAACTAGAGTCTTGGACTTTAAGAGAGCTAATTTCAATAAACTTAGAGAGGGCTTGGGAAAGATTCCATGGATGAGAATCCTCAAGGGAAAAACAACTCAAGAAGCTTGGGAAATTTTGAAAAGTGAGATAATAAAAACCTAGTCTAGCACAATACCAACAAAGAGGAAAAATAACAGCTCTGAAAAGAAACCAGCATGGCTGCATAAAGAACTCTCTGATAAACTGAAAGATAAAAAGGACAAGTATAGAAAGTGGAAAGAGGGGCACATAACTAAGTCAGAATAACAGCAAATAGCCCGAGTGGGTGAAAGTGGCAAGAAGGTGACAAGCAACAGGGAGAAAGCAGAACTATTTAACTCGTTTTTTTGCATCTGTCTTTATATAAAGGGAAAAAACAGACCAACCTATCAAAAATAGTGCCATAAAAAACAGAATAGAAACACAAGTTAAGATAGGCAAGAAAATGGTAAGTCCAGCCTAGACGAGTTCAAATCACCAAGACCAGATGATTACATCCCAAGGTTCTCAAGGAACTGGCAGATGTGATCTCAGAACCACGGAACTATATTTTTCAAAGATCCTGGAGCACTGGGGAACTACCAGAGGACTGGAAAAGAGCTGATGTAGTTCCCATCTTCAAAAAGGGGGGGGAAATGGATCCAAGAAATTAGAGACCTATCAGCCTGACCTCAATACCTGGGAAGTTTCTGGAAAAGATAATCAAACAATGAATCAGCGAACACCTAAAGACAAACAAAGTCATTACTAAAAGTTCCTAGTAAGGCCGCCTTTTGCAATTGACTGATGGTGAATTTGTCAATGCCAGTGGTGTTCAAGTGGTGCTCCAGTTGTTTTGGGATTGCACCCAAGGTGCCTATTACTATTGGTACTACCCTTGCTTGCTTTTGCCACAGTCTTTCTATTTCTATTTGTAGGTCTTTGTATTTTGTTATCTTCTCCAGTTCTTTCTTGTCTATTCTGCTGTCTCCAGGCAATGCCACGTCCACTATCCAGACTTTTTTGTCTTTCTTATCAACAATTGTTAAGTCTGGGGTGTTATGTTGCAGGTGCTTGTCTGTTTGAATTCTGAAGTCCCAGAGCAGTATAATTTTATCATTTTCTATGACTTTCTCTATTTTATGATCCCACCAGTTCTTGCTTACAGGCAAATGATATTTCTTGCAGATCTTCCAATGCACCATTGTTGCTACTTTGTCATGCCACTGCTTGTAGTCAGTCTGTGCAATCTTCTTGCAACAGCTTACCAGGTGGGCCACTGTTTCTTCCGTGTCTTTGCATAGGCGGCACTTACTATCTGTTGCTGTCTTCTCAATTTTGACTTTATATGCATTTGTCCTTAAGGCTTGATCTTGTGCAGCCAGAATTAGTCCCTCAGTCTCTTTCTTCAATTTTCCTGCTCTTAGCCATTGCCAGGTCTTGTTATTATCTGCTTTCCCAGCTGTTTTTTTAATGTACTGGCCATGTAGTGCTTTGTCTTCCCATGCCTCTATTCTGTTCTTCATTTAGTCTTTCTTGTAAGCCATTTTGGTCTCTCCAGTAGTCAGTAAGCCTTCCTGATATACTAATTTCAGTGCATCTTCATCACTGTCCTTCAGATATTCTCCCAAAGCCATTTTTTCTTCTTCAACCATCTGATGTACTTGCAGCATTCCACGCCCACCTATTTGCCTTGGTAGATAGAGTCTGTCAATGTCACTATGTGGATGAAGGGCATAATTCATTGTCATTATTTTTCTGGTCTTCCTATCCATTGTTTTTAGTTCTGCTTGAGTCCAGTCCACTATTCCAGCTGTGTATTTAATGACTGGAATTGCCCAGGTGTTGATTGCCTTTATGGTATTTCCTCCATTGAGTTTGGACTTTAAGATCTTCACTATCTTGATGTATTCACCTCTAATCTTTTTCTTGATTTCAGTGTGCTTGATGTTGTCAGCTTGAAGGATACCCAAGTATTTGTAGTAATCTTCCTCATCCAGACTCTTAATGTTATTTTCGTGGGGCATCTTGATTTCTTCAGTTTTCACTATTTTTCCTTGTTTGATAGTAAGTGTGGCACATTTGTCCAAGCCAAACTCCATTGCAATATCTTGGCTATATATACGGACAGTGTTGATTCTATTTCAAATGATGTTTTTCCATATAACTTCAGATTATCCATGTAAAGGAGATGGGATACTCTGTCAGATGTTTTTGATGTTTGATAGCCATGTCCTGAGTTATTCAGTATTGTTGACAGAGGAAACAGTGCAATAACAAATAGTAATGGTTATAATGAATCTCCTTGAAATATTCCTCTCTTGATGTTAACCTTTCCCAGTCTCTTACCATTGACCTGCAACTGTGTCTTCTATTATGCCATCGATCTTTGCACAAATTTTCTCTCTAGTGTTAATTTGTCCATTTCTGCACATTCTAGGATTTCCCTAATTATAATCTCATCAGATGGTAACTCTTCATTTTTCCAGTATTGGGCAAATGCTATTCTCGCAGCTGTCAATATATGTAATATTAAATACTCATTCTCTTTCCCGTAATTAGATCCTAGTATTCCTAACAAAAACAATTCTGGCCTAACTTCTATCTGTGTTTTAGTCATCTTTTCCAGCCATGTATGAATCTTAAACCAAAATTTCTTTGCACTAGGACATACCCACCAGATATGATAATAGGTACCTGGCTTTTGTTTACATTTCCAACAGTTATTTGAAACATTTTTAAACATTTTCACTAACCTTACTGGTGTCATGTGCCATCTATAAAACATTTTATACAGAATTCCAGAGAATAGCTAGAAGAGATAAGAATGTCCTCTTAAATGAACAATGCAAAGAAATAGAAGAAAACAATAGAATAGGGAGAACCAGAGATCTCTTCAAGAAAATTGGAGATATGAAGGGAACGTTTCATGCAAAGATGGGCATGATAAAGGACCAAAATGGCAGGGAC